ACAGACATGAACACACATTTGGGGGAACACACACAAACCTAAACACGGGGCAAATACATGGTTAGTGGTTGAGAATACAGATGTTGAAAGAGAAGGAAAGGAGACGGCAGATTTCTCAATAAATAAATAAATAAACAAATAAATAAATAAATAAGTGGAAAATGTGTAAAGATAAAAAATCTTTAAAAAAAACGAGAATGTGTAAATGTGTAAAGATAAAATATAAAAAACGGGGAATGCGTAAATGTGTAAAGCTATAAAACTAAGAAATCGGGAAATGTGTAAATGCGCAATGTAAAAAAGGAAAAATCGGGAATGTGTAAATGCGAAATGTAAAAAATAGGAAAAATCGGGAAATGTGTAAATGCGCAATGTAAAAAATAGAAAAGTCGAGAAATGTGTAAATGCGTAATGTAAAAAAATAAAAAAAAATCAAGAAATGTGTAAAAGATGTTAAAAAAAAAATCTAAAAAAGGGAGAAACGTGTTGCAAGGAATTGACAGGGTACAACTACTACAATTTCTGTGCTTGACTATTTACGTGTCGTGTCAATGAGCTATGGCGACGGTCATCAAACTAATCAATAATTAAACAACAAAACAAGATATCAAAAACGCCTCGATAGTCAGCTGTTCAGCCAAAACAACCGGAAAATCACTGCAACTGACCTCATCTCAACCTTCGCCATAACTCATACGAGGTGACCTAACATCCAGACGAAACAAGTCAGGTCAGTGAGTTGACATGATATCCAAAGTCTCATTTTTTGTCGTCAGAAACGTATTGAAGTGAGAAAGACTTTTAGAAGGAAGCGAAAAGTGAAGAAAAAAAAGAAAGAGATGACAAGTAACAGGTGATAGCAAAATGTATGTATGTATTTTTATTTTCATTTTGATGTGGGCGTGGCTTCTTATTTATTTACATGTAGTAGAACCATGATGCTTTTAACATCCATGTATCAAACGAGGAAAGATCTACAGTAATCAAAGACTGCCGGTGATAACAAAGCCTAGAAGTTCTACAGAAAATATAATCATTAAAACAAAGTGCACAGGGAAGGAAGGAAGGGGATAGATACATAGATAGACAGACAGACAGACAGAGAGAGAGAGAGAGGGGGGGGGAGAAGAAAGGACGAGAGAGAGAGGGGGAGGAAGAAGAAAGGACGCGAGAAAAAGTAAGAGCAAGGGAAACAGACAGATGGGGACAGAAACATAAACCCACAGATAAGAGAGAGAGAGAGAGAGAGAGAGAGAGAGAGAGAGAGAGAGAGAGAGAGAGAGAGAGAGAGAGAGAGAGAGAGAGAGAGGAGAGAGAGAGAGAGAGAGAGAGAGAGAGAGAGAGAAAGAGAGAGAGAGAGAGAAATAGAGAGAGAAAGAGAGAGAAGCTACAGAATGACAAGGGGGACGAAAGCAAAAGGTTTCAGACACTCAAGCCTCCCCTACAGAAAGCCAGTCCACAACACCCCTACGATAGACTCCAAGGCTCAGAACTCTACAGAAAACACTAACTAAACCACTATAGGCACTAACATCCAACTAAAATCAATCAGGTCTGGAATTAAGTGCATCTACACAAGCAGTGTACACAGGCAAACTACCGACATGTTCAGGACACGTTTAAAAAAAAAGTGAGGAAGAGATAGGCCTACAGAGATTCCCACAGAAAGAGGTTTTTAAAAAGCATGCAAGGGGGGTGGGGGGAAGTAGCCCCGATAGCCCCAGGAGCAGTAGCTGTCTGGGTAGCCGGATGAACTACCAGATAAGAGCACTTGGCCAAGATCTCGATAAGGGAGCACGTTATCAATCCCGTGTGTTCGGCGTGGCTCGGGCTTGTTCTTCCTGGCCACACCTGCCTCTCGTCCCGTCCCTTACCCTGCCATACCTCCTAGACATGCCAAAAAAATAAAAATAATAATAATAAAAACTCAAAATCTATGCCATGGCTATCCACCCTGCGGAAGATAGGGGCTGAAAATGTCTCGAATGTTAAAAAATATATATATATACAAAAAAGAGGGTTCCAAAAGACAGGGATTCGGACACTGCCAATCTGAGGCGAAGACAACAAAACAAGTTGCCGTCAGCTGTTCGTGGTGCACATCGAAGGGACGAACTAAACGAGCCTTTGGAGAGAAAGATAAAGGTAACAACGCGCGGGATTTCGGAATGAATAATAACGCAAGTGAAACCGCTGCAAACTTATGGCGTGAAGGAGGAAAATGGAGGAGGGGATGGATGGATGGGGGAGGGAGGGAGGGGAGGGAAGGGAAGGGAAGGGAAGGGAAGGGAAGGGAAGGGAAGGGAGGGAAGGGAAGGGAAGGGAAGGGAAGGGGAAGGGAAGGGAAGGGAAGGGAAGGGAAGGGAAGGGAAGGGAGGGGAGGGGAGGGGAGAGGGGAGGGAGGGAGGAAGGGAAGAAGGATGGGGAGGAAAGAAAGGAATATAACAGGAAAGGGAGAAGGGAAAGAAAAAGTAAACAAAAAGAAAAAAGGGATAAGATAAGAGAGAAAATAGAAGAGGGCGCGAGCGAGAGAGCGAGAGAGCAAGCGAGCGAGAGAAAGACAGAAAAAAGTAAGAAAGAAAGAAAAAGATGAACTGGGCAATTAAAATATCCAGCTTCAGTTCTCTTTCTTCCTTTCTTCCTTTCTTCCTTCCTCAACCCCAAGGCACTCGAGAGAGAGAGACCCAACCTCAAGAAAAGGAAAGGAAGATAAGAAAGTCCTAAAGGGTAGGATCCTGCCTTGAGCTCGCTGAAGGAAGTGAACACATATAAGGAGGGAATTCTCGAGAATCCTATGCATACGGAATCAGGAAGGGGGGGGGTGGAGGAGGCGGGGGGGGGAGGAGGAGGAGCAAAAGGAGCAGGAAGCAATGAGAGATGGAAGAGAGAGGAAGAGGGAGAGGATGGAGAGAGACAGAAAGAGAGAGAATGAGAGAGACAGAGAGAGAGCGAGGAGAGCGAAGAGAGAGAGAGAGAGAGAGAGAGAGAGAGAAGAGAGAGAGAGAGAGAGAGAGAGAGAGAGAGAGAGAGAGAGAGAGAGAGAGAGAGAGAGAGAGAGAGAGAGGAGAAGAGAAGAGAGAGAGAAGAGAGAAGAGAGAAAGAGGAGAGAGAGAGAGCGAGAGAGAGAGAGAGAGAGAGAGAGCGAGAGAGAGAGAGAGCGAGAGAGAGAGAAAGAGGGAGGAGAGAGAGAGAAGAGAGAGAGAGAGCGGGGGAAAAGCAGGGCGATGCAGCGATGATCAGGTGCACGAGAGAGAGATCAAAAGGACCAGCTCAAGTGGCCTTAACTCGAAACGCGATTCCCTCCGACTCTGACCACTTTAAAGGGGGTTCAAATCAAAGCCTCGGAGGATCCAAGTTTACCTATTTACGGTGGGATTAAAAAGAAAAATAGCAAAGGATTGGAATCTGTATTTTGTTCTGGACAGGAAAAGTATCAGAAGCAATTTAGATGGGAATGTGTGAGAGTGTGTGATTGCGTGTGTGCGAGTGTGTGTGTGTGTGTGTGTGTGTGTGTGTGTGTGTGTGTGTGTGTGTGTGTGTGTGTGTGTGTGTGTGTGTGTGTGTGTGTGTGTGTGTGTGTGTGTGTGTGTGTGTGTGTGCGTACATGAGCACATTTCTACATTCAAGAATTCACGTGTGCATTTCGAGAGAGATTACCCTTGCAGGCACTTAATAATCTAGTGTTTTTGTCTTCAGAGTAAAGATTAGATATGTGCAATTCAGGCTATGAGGACACACATGACTTGCGAAAAGAGAGGAAAATATACTGACAAACATACTCGGGTCTTTAGGATGAACAATATGTACAGCAAAGAGATAGAAAAAAGGATGTGACGTGGATGAAAATTCGACAGAGAGAGCAAGAAGGATTTTTTAAAAAAAGTATAAACACCTAAATACAACAAGGAAATCAAAAGACAAACGACAGTGTGATCTTCAAGTGCTTTTGTATCCAACGAGTCAGCGTCTCCTGGCAACTCCCTGGCATCGAATTCCATTGTTTTCATGTCGTTTATACTTTCCAAAAAGGGGATTCAGAACCCGCAATCGGAGGCGCCAGAGAGGATCGAACCCGAAACACTGACTGGTTTTGAGAAATCGTTTTCGTGGGCGGATTCACAAGACCCGTTCAGGAAAGTGTGCGTGGGTGGTGTACACAACACAGATGTGAGTCCAAGAGAGTGTGCTGGTGGTGAATGAGGGCGGGTCAACACATGGGTACACATAATATGGGGAACATGATCTTACACTTCAATTCGTTAGGTACACTCAACTATGTACAGAGAACAGATCTTTAAATGTACGAAATAGTTTTTTTTTAAACAACGAAAAGACCATAAAGTAAAGAAGAATGATCTAATCTTCGTTACGGTGAAAGGTTAACATGGATCAAGTGCACGGGCTTTATCTGAAGATCATTTACAAAGTTTAGAGGCAAAGTCATTAGAATCTTGCCTGTTGTACATACATTTTTTTTTTTTTAAGTGAAGGGGGGTGAGGGGGAAAATAGCACTAAAATATCTTAAATTCCAAAGCTCGTGTAAATGTGCACGGCGGGAGAGAAGAACAGTGAAAGAAGACAATTCAAAAATAAAGCTTAATTGTACAAGAGGTTCATGGCACTGTTCCGTGGAGGGAGACAGCTGAAAGAAGGACATGTTAGTAAGAGGCACCGCCATGACGTCCCGAGTGCCAGCGGAGGGGCACGGGCGGCGCTGCATGGCGGTGCGCGAAAGGGGGGGCGGGGGGCACACACACATACATTACCTCTACCCGGGGACCTCGAGACTCCACATCCTACTCCACATCCTACAGCGGAGTAAGTCTTCGGGGAGTCTCGTCCTTCGTGGATATGCTCTCCTTCTCATCTCTCTTTCTCAAGGAAAAAATAAAATCTTTCCTTTCCCTATCCATTTATCCTTCTTATCTTTTAGACCTTTTTATCTTTTTCTTCTCTCTCCTCCTTTCACCTAAGAACCGAAGTTCCCCTTGAGCTTTACCTTAGGAAGCGCCGCCAGAGCCTGCTGCTTGACGTCCCACACGAGGTCGTCCTTGTGGAACTGCAGGCACTTCTCGACCTTGAGCTCCGGTACGTTGATCCTGAGCACTACCTCGTCGCCCACGCTGGAGGCCGAGGACGACCCGGCGCCGGCCGACCCCGAGGCCGAGCTCACGCTGACCCCGTCCTCCATGACGGTGCTCCGGGACCTGCGGGAGAGAGACGTCAAGGGTGAGATCGAGGAAAATAAGGCAATAAATGAAACTGAATAAGGTCAAAGAGAAAATTAGAATATGAGAGAGAAAGAGAGAGAGAGAGAGAGAGAGAGAGAGAGAGAGAGAGAGAGAGAGAGAGAGAGAGAGAGAGAGAGAGAGAGAGAGAGAGAGAGAGAGAGAGAGAGAGAGAGAGAGAGAGAGAGATATACAAAAAGCCGAATGAAAAACAAAACAAAACTGAAAAGAAAGAGGGAGATATGAAAAAAACGAGAGAGAAACAAAGAAAAATAAAGAATAATGAAAAATCACTTAGCAACAAGAAATAGGGGCGTCACCCAACACCTAAGTGAGAAGAGGCAGTCACGTGACTTCAAACTCATTCGCATAGACTTATCAATGTTTACAAAACCGCAGGAAATAAGCATAGAGGTGTGAAGCCAATGCTTTTGTTCGAAAATTCAAAATAATAATGATGATGATGGTAATGTAATGATTGATGGATGATGATGATGATGATGAGATGGTGAAGAGATATAGAGAAAAGTAGGGGGGGAGAGAGAGAGAGAGAGAGAGAAGAGAGAGAGAGAGAGGGAGAAGGGAGGGAGGGAGGGTGGAGGGAGGGGAGGAGGGAGGGAGAGAGAGAGAGAGAGAACGAGAGAGGAGAGAGAGAGAGAGAGAGAGAGAGAGAGAGAGAGAGAGAGAAGAGAGAGAGAGAGAGGAGAGAGAGAGAGAGAGAAATAAGAAAGATAAAACGAAATATTTCAACAACACCGAAGATACAACCCTCCCCAAGCCTCCACCTCAAGAAGAAACAAGGCAAACAAAATAAATTAATAAAAAAAAAAATTTCTCAACACAACCACATTACCTCCGTGCCCATAAACAATGGCTCAAGTTTAACTCTAACGGAAGTTTTAAACAAAAATGCCAATATGCTATAATGTTGGCCTACACAGAAGAAGACAGTAAACCGATTTAAGCTAGAATCTCGGATACTCAGCGATGTCTATGGCATAGATAAGAAGCCGCGCTTAGCATAGTAAGAGCAACGGTGTGCAGGGGAATAAATGTTAGTTCGTGCGTGCAATTGCGTAATTAATGCGAGACATTTTATAATACTTTAATGCAATAGGACGACCATTGAGGCCTTGCAGATGATTGGCGACTATCGTAGTAGAGGAGCAGTTACGGACGCAGTGGGCGGAGGGGTGTGTACAGGGAAGGCGAATTTGTAGAGTGGATATCTTGGAAGAAGGTTCTAAAATTAGAGTGAGGGAGACTGGGGGGAAGTTAGGGGGGAGATGTGGGGGTGATGGGGAAGAGAAGGGGGTAGAGTGTGGAGTATGAGTAGTATGGAGGGGGATGGCGGAATAGGAGTACTTGATAGTTATTGGGGGTGCCGGTAGAGGGGTGAAGGTGGAGGGGGAGGGAGTGGTGGGGGAGAGAGGTATGGGTGGGTAGGGGGAGAGAGGGGGAGAGGGGGAGGAGAGAAGGGGAGAGAGGAGAGAAGGGGAAAAGGGAGATGTAGAGATGTAGATTGAGGAGTGTGGAGAGGATTGGCATAGGAGAGAGAGGGGGGGATTGTCTATGGGAGAGAGGAGAGGCGGGAGGTGATGAGGAGAGAGGAGAAGGAAGAGAAGGTGTAGATGAGAGAGGATAGAGTATATGCTAGAGATGATGTAGAGATTTGGAGAGAGGATGAGTTCAGGCACGAGGTTAGAGAGGAGGAGCAATAGAGTGTGAGTAGAGACGGTTCATGTAGGAATTCAGGCTGAATTAAAATATATATTACTAATAATTACCGTGAAAAACTTAGCTAAATGGACAACAATTCTGTGGTTTTTGTTTTTTTGTTTGTTTGTTTTCATGTGTGTTGTTTAAGAATGGGAATAATAAGTAAGATATAGATCGTGATGGGTGAAACGTTGATGGTCTGGGATAGAGGAGAAAATATGTTAGTTTGCGGCAATTTACAGAAAATCTTAATGGATCGAAATGTTTCATTAATTTAATTGTTTGCTATATTTTAGAAACTTAGGTAATGTTGCCTAGATCTTTTATCTAGACTGAAGAGACAAGAGTGCATAAAGGCAGGTATATTATATATAACAAATACATATTTATCGTAAAATTACACAATACACTTATTGTTTATATAGGAATTATCATTATGCACATTACACACGGTTGCTCTTACACTCATAGACACACGCATATTAGTTATATTAATTCATTTAATATATATATTATTATATATATATTAATATATATTGGAAGACATATATTATATATTGTTGTTATAAATATTTATAATAAAATTATGAATTGATTGACTGTGTGGAGTATGAGAATGAGAGATGGATGAGAGAAGAGAGAGAGAGAGAAAAATCTTTGGTATCGATAATGGTAGTAATGCGAATCATGTTTCAGATGGTTGTATTATTGTAATGAATTCGGGTGACATTCTTTTAATTAGTCGCTTGAGTGGAGATACAGATTATAAGTTGAAGATTATAAAGGCGTAAGGAAAGCTTTTGGGTGTCTGTGTGTCGTCCTGTTGTTAGGCCTAAATGAGCTGTTAAGGACTCGGACTGAAAAGACGGTGGATAGAGAAAAATGCTGTCTCACAACATCTAACCTCATCTATAAGTGGTGGGCTTGGTCATGGATGGAGTAGAGAGACCTCGGGGAGTTTTTTATCACATAGTAGAAAGTGTAGTAAAGGAAGAGGACGCGAAATTGCTTCAGAGTTGATTGGAAGCCTAGGATTGAGTTTAGAACTAGCGAGAGGAGTAGGAGTGTTAAAAGGAGAAGGAGTAGAGTAGGTTGGAACATGTGTGAATGGAAGATGGAAGGAGGGTGAAGAGGAGTGAGAGAGTGAAAGGAGGAGAGAGGTGAAAGGAGGTGAGGAGGTGAAGAGGGGAGGAGGGGTGAAGAGAGGAGAGAGGTGAAGAGGGAGAGAGGTTAGAAGTAGGGCATGGGGGAGGGAGGGGGAAAGAAGGGAAGGGAGTAGGTGGTAGGGTATGAGTTAGTAGTGGCGTTGTAGGAGGATGGTGTGTGGTGAGGGGAGGAGAGAGAGGAGAGAGGAGAGGAGCAGGAGAGGAGAAGGAGAGGAGAAGGAGGGTGTGGAGGAGTAGGAGTGAGGAGAGTGGAGAGTGATGAGGGTGTGGAGGAGAGGAGAGGAGAAGGAGAGGAGAGGAGAGGGAGAGGAGAGGAGAAGGAGAAGGATGGGGTGGAGGGAGGGTTGGAGGAGAGGCGAGAGAGAGAGGAGAGAGGAAGACATGGAGAGGAGAGGAGGGAGGAGAGAGGGTTGAGAGGAGAGGGAAGAGGGGGAGGAGAGGAGAGGGGAGCTGTGGGGAGAGGTGGGAGAGGAGATGGAAGGGAGAGGGAGGACGGAGAGGAGAGGAGCTGAGAGGAGAGGAGGGATGAGGGACGGGGAAAGGAGGAAGGGGGAGAGGAGGGGATAAGGGGGAGGGAGAGGAGGAGAGAGGAGAGAGGCGGAAGGGGAGGGAGGAATGGGAAGGGGGGAGGCGGGGAGGAAAGAGGCGAGGGGGGGGTGAAGGGGGAAGGGGAGGGAGGGGAGAAGAGGAAAAAGGAAAAGAAGTGAGAGAAGAGGAAAAGAGAAGAGAGAGAGCTCTTCGGTCTCCTCTCTCCCTCTCACTCACTCTTCCTCTTCTCTCTCTCTCTCTCTCTCTCTCTTCTCCTCCCGCTCCCTCCCCCCACCCCCCACCCCTCTCTCTCTCCTCCTCCCCCCCTCTCTTTCCCTCTCCATGCCCAGCTTTCCTTCAGCTGAGCGTATCTTATAAGCCTAATCCTCACAGCGCAAGAATATTACATGAACAAACTCCTAGAATATCCAAACAGCCAAGCAGACCAAGATTACTTTTTAATTTCCCCCGACGGAGGAGGAGAAAACTTGGGAATTACTTTTTTGAGGGGGAGGAGGGGGGGTGACCTCAAGGTCTACCTCCAAAAGCTGTCCACGCGCTGTAAAATTTGTTATTGCTGTTTTTGTTGTTTTTTTTTGTTTGTTTATTTTTATGTACACGATAGAACATATATAAGCAATCATGTGACGATATAAGTAAATGTATAAGTATTTCATCAAAAGTTATCACTACTTCCCCGATAGCATATAAATAGGTAATAATGTAACGATCTATGTAAAGGTATAAACATTACTTTTAAAACATCCACTACTTCCCCGATACCACATAAATCTGTAACTATATAAGGATATAAGTAAATATACAATATCATCATCATCTGTTCAGAGGTGATTCAACAAGATAAAAAATTGCTTCAAAATAATCATACTTCTTACAAGTAACGAAACAAATTTAATCCTTACCATTCTATATTCTCGAAAAACACGTCCTTCGCGCCGATCAAAATCCTCATATTTTGTCTTGTTTTTGTCCTTTTATTTTCCGAAGATTCAATTCTAAAGGAACAGTCTAAACCCGCCTACTTCATTCTCCCACTTCGGCGGTCTCAACTTCTGAAACTATTTGCACTGTACCTTCACGTACGATAAAAGCGCCATGGCTTTGTCATTTTTCTATTTTCCAAACGCACTTCAAAATAACGTTAAGATGCAATCAACGGCTCGCGAATCACGCCATGGCAGGCACGGACCCCATTTTCACACTGAACACCTTCAAAACACAAACAAAAGGGGGTTTGGATTCGCCAGGAGTGAGCTTCGCAACCCTGTTCGAACCGCAGGCGCAAAAGGCCACACGAACCCGCCTCTCTACGAAGACTGTAGCGTACTGGTGGTAAATTTGGGTGTGACGAATAAGCCATTCATAGATAAAGTTAAAGGTTCTGATAAGATGGCTTGGGGGCCCCTTAAACGTTATCAACAGCGCGGTTTATTTCACAGTGATTCGGTGTCATTTCACAATTGCTTCGACCGAACGAGCGCCTCCTCGCGGGTCAACTGTCGGTCTTGTTTCCGCACAACAAACCCTCGCCCAAGAATAATTCCT